ATGCAATATGGGGCGTTTACACGCAAAAGTGCGTCTTGTGGGAGGAGAACATGTAAATATATTAATTTAGCACTCGCAAAGCTTACAGATAATAGAATACAATAAAATAGAAATACCCTTCAGTGTCCAATAATGGGGAAAATGAGGTTTCAGTGGTGAGGCAAATTGGCAATGAAAGCATTGAAGTACAGACAAAACTAACTGAAATTTAAAAAAAAGATTAAATTAGACTTTACAGGACAGAAAAAAAAACATCTCACAAAAGATAAATATCTGTTATCAATAATAAATGGCTTAAAAACAGCAGCACAACAGTGCAAATGAAAACATAAATGTATAAAGCAGGGGAAAATTGTTCAAAGGGCATATCAAACTTTGAAAAAGACATTGATGTACATAAACACTTACTGGGCAGTAAGCAGTAAAAGTATTCCTCTTATAACATGGCAGTAGACACAATGTTATTTAGTCACTGTGTGTATCCTCTACTGTTCACTAACATCTCTGAAACCTCAAACTTGAGTGTGTCAGAAAATGTATATTTATTCGGCCAGTATAAAAGGATGTTTAAAAAATGTTTGGTCTTCTAAAAAGTATCTGTACATTCAACTCTTGGTTTGGCCATCTTTTGCATGAATCATTGCATCAAAGGCATGGAGGCGAGCAGCATGTGGCTCTGCTAAGGTGTAATGGAAGCTAAGGTTTCATTGCCTTCAGGTAATAAAAATTGTTGGGTCCGATGTCTCTGAACTTCCTCTTGACAGTAACACACAGATTCACAATTGTTCAGGCTTGGTCATTGTAGGTAGAGTAACATTAAAGGAATAGTACACCCAAAACATGATTAGCCTTCATTTTCTACTCACCTCCATGCTGAACAACACTCTGGAGTACTTTTTTGATATCTCAAATGCATCTGGAGATCTGGGAGGCTTCTTGCTGTCTGCTGACATTCAAATAATGGAGGTCCATGGCGCCCGAGACAGAAAGGTCCATAAAAGTCCACAAAAACGTGTCAATATTCCTCCATACTGCTCGTCCAATGTAATCCAAGTGTCCTGAGTGGGTAGCATCCAGAATTTACTCGAAACGAAGTCATTTAGAATGTTTTTAGAGCATAAACAGTAGTGTATAGGATTTCCTAATAGCGCCCCCATGCGCGCTCACGATTCTACGGAAGCCGGCAGACCAAACCGGAAGGAAGTGCGCATTCAGCGTCTGGTCTGCCGATAATGCAAGCGTAGAAGAAGAAATGTGCTGTTTACCTGTGCAAAGAAAGAAACAACGAAAGAAAAATGTCTGAGGACTTCAGTGTTGAGGAAGAGCATGAGTTCTTTGCCGAGCTGAATGCGCTGGTTTGGTCTGCCGGCTTCCGTAGAATCGTGAGCGCGCATGGGGGCGCTATTAGGAAATCCTATACACTACTGTTTAGGCTCTAAAACGTTCTAAATGACTTCGTTTCGAGTAAATTCTGGATGCTACCCACTCAGGACACTTGGATTACATTGGACGAGCAGTATGGAGGAATATTGACAAGTTTTTGTGGACTTTTGTGGACCTTTCTGTCTCGGGCGCCATAGACCTCCATTATTTGAATGTCAGCAGACAGCAAGAAGTCTCCCAGATCTCCAGATGCATTTGAGATATCAAAAAAGTACTCCAGAGTGTTGTTCAGCATGGAGGTGAGTAGAAAATGAAGGCTAATCATGTTTTGGGTGTACTATTCCTTTAATGTTATGGAGCAAGCTTCTGTATTTTTTGCAGTGTGGGAAAGTGTGAAGTCCTACAGAAAAACATAACATATCTAAACCAACATCTCCATAAAGCTTCTCAGCAGAAGGAAGGATAAAGTGTTTTAATTTTCCCAGAAGATGGCTGTGTTGACTGTAGGCATCAGAAAAAACACAGGAACAGCTCCAGTAGATAACATGACAGCTTAAAGTCCCGCCATCTACTGGATATGTACAGTTTACTCAGTCTGTAAACTTCAAACTGTTCTTCTAGCTACAGAGATTGTGTGCCTCTCCTGCCTTGATCATTTGGGTCTTTGATTTTCAAGAGACATACAGCTTCACTTTAATTGGAAATGTGACCTTTGGAATTCTGTGCACCACTACAGACTATTCTGTTGTCATCTCTGGTTCAGGGGTGGTTTGACACAATAAATGTGACACGTGGCCACTGTGTGGATTCTCTTTTACCCCATTTACACTACCCTTGAAAAACTGTGCCGAGACCGCTCCGAGCTCAGTAACTGAGATAGCTTATCGTGTGTAAATGGAAAGCATACTGAACTGAACCGAGCTAGACACAACCGAACCGAGCTAACTGTAGACTAGTTCCAGAGATGGGCTTGGCTCGGTTTTTCCCTGGCTCAGTTCTCTAATAACAAGAGCGCATGAGCAGAACGCATCATCTCCGTCTGGCTGCACATCCCGATTCACAGTCCATTCCAGTAGTTGGCGGTAATGCCCCTCCAGAAACAGAAGAAGAACAACAACTTCTTTTTCAACTATAAACAACAATCGAAATCTTCTCCATGCAACATATTTAAATAATGGCATTTTAAACAATAACCCGAAGTACAGCAATAATTATCAAGCATAACTTTCTGAATGTGACGGGCACCGCCATTTTGATCTGCTTGATTCCCTCCTTCTTCGTCTTCTTCTTCTTGTGTTTTATGGTGGTTGGCAAACAACTTTTGGGACACTCACCTGGAGTGACGCAGGTCTCAGAGTGTCGCTCATTGCTCCAAGTCTTCTAAAACTCAAACAGCCCAAAACAAAATTCTCTTTCAGAGATCTGGATTGTTTAGTTTTGTAGCTTTAAGTCTGATTTTGATCCTAACATCACTCTTGATATTTTAGGTCCTTTCTAAGCGCTACCCAGGGATTATAAAACAGGTCCAGATATCTTACGACTAACAAAGTCCTCTTTAATGTTTTTATCTGCCTGTACAGTGTCCTTGGGTGTTGTGATAAGGCGCTTTCAAATAAAATGTATTATTATTATTATTCTTGCTCTAAGATCGTCACTAGGAGGCGAGGAGTCAAGGAACCAAGATAGCGTGATCTGTAAACGGTCGTCAGAACCAAGCTAGGCCTGGTTAACTGATCCGAGCCCGGCATGGATCGGTTTTTCAAGGGTAGTGTAAATGGGGTATTTGAGTTGACTCCACTCTTTGCTCACTCCTTGTGAAACCCCTGTAAATTTGTAAAAAGGATTTTCCACACATCCTTCTTCAATGGTTTTTCCCTTCGCTCAACCTTCTTTTAATATAGTCAGGGCTAGGTGTTAACCATAGCCCGATCTCCCAGGGCAAGTAGTTTTTATTGTTGAGAGAGTACAAATTTCATTGCATTTGCCCGCCGGGCAAGTGCAATGATCGCAAAAAAAAAAAATTTTTTATCTCTCAAAATTACTTTAAAATCACAGACATTCTATGAAAACGACCCAGAAAGCGTTGCCAGCGCTATTTTTGTTGTTTTGTACACATTCTCGTGTGATTTGAAAAAGGCGCGTGATTTGAAAAAGCTGGGTGATTTTCCGCCAGATGGCGTGATTTTTGTCCATCCAGCGGTAATTTTGATGTAGTTACCAACACGACAAACGGCTGCATTTATTTTGTCAGGGAAAACTAATCCTGAGTCAGTTAAAAGTCAGGGAATTCTGAAATTATGTAAGACTTTTTAAACCCTGTATAAAATAACTATGTATAATGATTCTCTAGAAAAGTCACATTATATTAATAGTATTATCTTGTATAAACATACCGTGACTCTAAAATAAAAGTTATTCATTTGTGACATTGACTTCTGTCTTGTGATTTATCTTAAGTTTTTAACCTGTCAAGTTTTTTTTTAGATTTTTAACATTACAATTTATATTTTTCCAAGCACACAACAGTTTAAAGCAAAGTTTAGTTTGAAAAGAATGTGCAGGAAGTGTTGAAAAGCATGATGACACGGTGATGTAGGCTTGAGTTTATTATCTGACGCATGCATATACACACCAGGAACCTGTAAACTTAAAAAATACTGAATTACAAAAAACATTTAAAAAACAAACATGTTTCATTGTTATATATACAAAAATGAATATTAGGAACTATATCAAACATTATACAAGTAAAAATAGTTTCTGGGCAAATGAAATGTGAAAGTCACTTGCCCAAAGGGCAAGTGGTAAAAATCCTTAACGTCAACCCCTGATGGTGTAAGATTTTCACAGAATTCTAAGAGGTAGAAGTTTTATTTATCTATCTCTTAGCTAAAATTATACATAACTGGAAAAAAAAGACTAGTTTCTTATTTTTCCATAAAAGTGCATTTTATAAACAAACTATGAATATTTATGCATTTCTGTATTTAAGCATCAACATATTCTTTTATGTATGATTTACTGACGTATGGCACAGAACCTGTAATGCTGTGTGCAGCAACACTATATTTTTTATACTGGGTCATTTATTATTGATGTTTAGTATCTGACAGCTTAGAGAGAATAAAAGGAAACTGAAAATGTGAAGCAAAAACTCTAAATCATTTCCACCTGTATTAAAAAAAAGTAGTAAGTATGCTGATAGGGTTTAAAGACTGTATAAATCTGTTATCCCCCTGTTCCATATCTAATGTGCACAAAAGTCCATATGTGTCAGCAAGTATCTCTGATTCATTCATACTCCCTGGCAAAAATGTAAGGTCTTTCAGGAACGATATTTGGAATAAAGGGTGTTAGGAAAATGGAATAAACTATAGCTGATGCACGGTGGTGGCGGGTGTGTATGTGTGTATGTTTAGAATAGCAGCTATTAACTGTGGCTTGTTATCTTGGTTTCTGCTTGTGTTTGTGTGTGTTCCTGTAGATAATGCTCTGTCCCATTATCTGTCTTTCTAATTGTTTGTATATGGTGTGTGTGTTTGTGTGAGGCTGTTTTAATCTTTCACCCAGAGCCCTACCTGTACCTTAAAGCCCCATCCCCTCCCTCTAACCCTCAGGAAGTAACTTGGTGGAAACGGCAACAAGCTGGTGCACAGGACACGGACCTCAACAACTACAACAACCACAAGTGAGACCTACTGTGTGCTCCTCTCCCTCAGGGATGCCAAAATAAGAACCAAGTGAGAACAATGCCGAATTCTGCACCTAAGGGCTGACATCTGGTGCCTTTCCCTTTAACATGAACAGCAGCAGCTAAGGTACCTGCTCCTCCGACGCCTTGGACAGCAGCATAGCTGCCTGACAGTCCCCTGGGAGGACCAGCAAGGGAGTTGTGTTACAGTCCCTGTCAGGCCTTATGCATGTTTCATCCGCTGCTCTCAGAACAGAAGCCTCTTTTGTTATCTAATCTAGCCCTCTTCTTCTCAGCCTGAGTTTATTGCAACAAGACTGTTCTTCACAGACTGTCAACCAGACGCCAAGCTGATACATATTCAGCAGCTTAGAGCAAGAAGAGGACTTTGTTAGGCGTAAGATATCTGGACCTGTTTTATAATCCCTGGGTAGCGCTTAGAAAGGACCTGAAATATCAAGAGTGATGTTAGAACCAAAATCAGACTTTATGCTACAAAACTAAACAATCCAGAGAATTTTGTTTTGGGCTTTTTGAGTTTTAGAAGACTTGGAGCCATGAGTGACACACTGCGACCTCCGTCACTCCAGGTGAGTGTCCCAAAAGATGCCCCGGCTTACTCTGATGGAGGAAACAATGCTGTGTCAGACGGTTCTGTGCGATCCAGCTCCTCGACCCCAACTCTCCGCCGCAAGCGCTTCAAGATGCGTCGCATGAGGAATGTGCCAAGTGAGAGGGAGAACCCAAGAGCCCGGCTGACCAATGTTCAGCTCACAGCCAGATCCCGATCCAGCTCCAAGGAGTACCTCCAGTTGCCTTCAATTGAAATCACTCCCTCCAGCGATGAAGATGCCCCATCTTCCTGGTCAAGCTGTTCTACTCCCAGTGCTTCTCCACGCCGCAGACGTTTTCTTTTGAGGAGGTGGCTGAAGGTCAGAGAGAAGAAGGAGCAAGGCAGTGAAAGCAGGTTGGTATGGGCCTGCTCTCCTCCTCCTATTCCTTTTTCTCCCATTATCTACACTGAGGCCTTTATTATTGCTGTCACACTTTCTCTGAAAATGTGAAGTTTTATTGGCATAAAGAAAGTAACATGTATTCCATGGAGGAATGATTAGTGCAAGGACTGTCTAACTAAAATACTTGTAAACCAGTGTTTGTTAGAGAAATCGATCAACCTTAATGCTTTTCTGCCCCCTGGTTTCCCTTCATTTACAAGATCTGAGTTAAATCCAATTGTAGCTAGTTTTGCACTGCATGAAAAGTGGGATTTTCGTCAATATACGGCACTGTAGATTGTCGTGGAACTTCAGGTTAGCGGTAGTTTACGGCAATTTGCAGGCTTCGTCGAAAACTCCCGTAAATTGTCAGAAATTGACGTGGAATTTCTTAGGCAGTGTTCCCCCCATGCCTCCCCCCCATGGAATTCTAGGGGAGGCTTTAACATGTAAATGAACATGCTGTGAGCTATACAAATGCAAACCAGGGTTGCAGGGGGGGTTTTACCCCAAGTGACATCTTTCTGAGGAAGAAAATCTCTGATACAAAGAGATCAGGCTTAGTATAGCCTCTCACATTTTAGCTTGAATTGATTTATTTAATTAAAGTATAGAGACCAAAACAGATCTTTAGCCGACAGAGCAATACATTTAGAGCAGTAATTATTTTTTTAAAAATTTGCATTTAAGATAAAAAAATAAAATGTTGTCTGTCAATATGCTCAATTCACAATTACTTAAGTGGAAAAGTTTCAAGAAATGAGTCTGAGATTATTCACTTTATAACATGGCGCATTATCCTGTTGGAAGTAGCCATCAGAAGATTGGTACACTGTGGTCATAAGGTCCGGCCAGGTCAAGATCCGCAATTGCAATTGCACCAAACAGGAAAAAGAACATCGACAAATTCCGGTTCGTCAAATTAAAATATAGCAGCAACAGATTGGTGACTAGAAATTATAGCACAATTCTTATATATATATATATATATATATATATATATAAAAAAAAAACTAACACCGTTTATTTAAATGATTGGATCCAAACTATTGGTTATTCACCAACGAGGAAGCAGATTTCTCATCTCCATCAAAATATTTATTTTATACCGAGGGACTTAAACTTTAATGAAATCCATTCAAAAGAAACTTCTTATTACAGGAATGAAAAGAGATGCTGAGTTTGGAAGTAGTGAACAAGTTCATTAAAAAAAAAGAAGTTTTGAATTATCCTTATCCCCGTTACAAAAATCTACAAAAATATATATATATATTTGGGCAGAAACTGAACATATGCTGGATGATAGTGGGATTTTTTTAATATGTCATATTAAATTAAGCGCTCACAGGGTTCATACAGGAATGAGTGACTCTAATTTAATGCTATTTAAATGCTATTAGAAATGATTTTAATGCCATCAACAAGAATCATGTACACAAGTTATTAGTGTACATGAAATATGAAGGAGCTGCAAGCAGAGTTCCATGACTCCTGTATGTATGTAAACACACACACACACACATATATACGTATATATATATCCTCTAGCTTTTTCTCCGCCTGGAGCGATATAATATATCTGACGAAATTGTTTTTATAAGCATTTTTTATTAAAGAATTATAAATGCTTCGATAAACATATTTAAATAATTTTAGTGCCAATTAAGGCCTTGATTTAAAAAAAAAAAAAAAGAATGATTTTTTAATTATTTTTATTGATCCGCGGAAATTCTGGTTCATCTCGCGCATGCTCTGTACGATCTCCAAGAAACTTAGAGCGGCGGGGTCTGGATCCACAATGGAGGATGCTGCTTTGCTTTGTGCAGGCGGTCTGGAGCGTCTGGATTTCGGGATAAAACTCCTCTTGGACGCGATGGCGACTCTGAATCGAACAAGAAGAACTCAAAGAAGAGATGCTAGCGGTAAATATATGTTTGATTACTGCCTGCTAAGCTAAAAGCAGCCTAGACTAAGCTACCGGCTAATAGCAGCCTAGCTATTAGCCTATCTAGCCTAGCCTTGCAAGAACAAGCTTTATTAAAGTGTATTTTTTGTGATTACAGGAAGCAGTATGCCGTCTTAACAACTCGGAGACTAATTGCAGGCGCTATGAACCGGAGCAAGGGTAAGATTTAAAGAATATGCTTTCATTCTGCGGTAAAAGGCAATGGATACGGATAGATACCGATCATAGCTTTTACATTTTGTTTTCACAGACTACTGTCGCCTCACAATGAGGCGGTGACCTCCTATTTGCTCGGAGCCATAATCAGCAAGTCCAGATTTGCACGATGTTGATAAAGACGACATTGTGTGTAAGTGACTTGTTTTAATGTTTTCTCCTTCCTTGTTACTGTGACTTGCGTTTGATTTTTTTTTTATACCACTCTCATTTAATTGTTTTCCAGCTGCCTGTAAGACGTATTTTCAGACGGTACGCAGGAGCTTCAGATATAGGCTGCCAGCCATCACGCTGCGTGCGGAGGCAATCTGCTCGGAGTCGGGCCAGAAGAAAGAGGGTAAGACTTTATTTGGTGACTATTTTTCAGGTGCATTAATAGATGTGTTGTGTCCATACGCAGTGCGCTGATTCATTGTTTTTTTTTTCCAGCTGCTGAAAGCGAGGCAGAGTGTGCTAACAGATGAGGAAGTGGAACTCTGGAAGTCCGCCTTCCTCGGCGGTGTCTCTGGATGGATTGTACGGTCGCCGCCATTTCGTAGGCCGGATCTCACTGAACTCTGTGTTAAGCTGCAGTCCCGGTTAGAAGCGATGCCGAAGTACAGGGCCACGCACACTAGGCGTCTGCACATCGGACCTGCCTCGGAGGGAATGCTGCCAGTTACCTCCAACCCCGAGGAAGCAAACGGACCCTTCACGGACTTTTAATTTTTAGAAACGCATGTGTTTGGATACGCGTTGTATATAGTTGTGTGTGTTTCAATAAAGCTCTTTCTTTGCATAAACAGCTTCCTGCAAATGTTCATTTCCTGTATAAATTCATTCATGTCCTTGATGGTAGCCTAATAATTGTGTAGTAGTGTAGGATAACATAAATACACACCATATGAATGAATAAATATATGAATGAATAAATATATATATATATATGAATAAATATATATATGTAAATATATATATATGCCAACCAATCACGAGCGACTTTACTTGTTTAAAAAGAAGTGGTTCCGTCCAATACTCAGTAAGAAAATTAAAGCCTGGAGTGGCCACGTGTGGTTTTGCTGCCAATCACGAGCGATTTCATTTGTTTGAGAATAGTGGTTTCAGCCAATACTGAGAAGGTTATTCAAGCCAGACCTGGCCAGCCGCGCGGGTTTGCTGCATTCATATGCTAATTAGGGCCATTAGTACAGCTGATCGCTCTCCACATACGTCACGGTACGTTTTCGACAATTTGTGGCACGACAAACGCGGACAAGCACGGGTTGCAAATTGTCGGAAACTGACGAAAATCAGGCAGATCTGCGGGAGTTTACGGGGGTTTACGGGGACGAAAATCTCACTTTTCATGCAGTGTTGGTTATTTATTGTCATAAAAATGTTCAGTTATTTCTTTTGTCAAAGGTCGCAGTTTAGGTTCGAATCAGACTCCTAATGAACCAGTTATTTGAGTTTCTAATGAAATTCATAATTGCAAAGATTCTTAGAACATACGTCTAGAACAGTGGTTCCCAACCCTGCTCTTCAGGGAATCCTGCCCTGCATGTTTTATGTCTGTGTTCCACATACCTGAATCAAATTAGGGATTCTCCTCTGCAATCAAGTTCTGCAGAAGCCTGTTAATCATCCAGTCTTTGTTGTTGTGATTCAAAAAGGACATACCTAAAACATGCAGGATAGGGGTCCCAAAGGACCCTAGACCAGAAAGGTTAATAAAAAAATCAATAGGTTATTTCCTATTTGGTTGATGACGGTGTGATTTACTCCAACATGAGATCAGCAATGTTGCATTCTGAGTAAAGGTCACATCACTTGAATGTCCTTTATGAAAGTGTTGAAAATGTAGAATTTGTAACGTAGCAATTGTCCTCCATTTCTATCAGGAATTGTAAAAGTCATCATGAACATGCATAATGCTTAAGGTCATACAAAACTCTCCATTATATTTGTATCTCAGTATGACATTTAACACCCTTAAAATTCTTGCTGTATTCTACAAAATCTATACAATCCCGCTAGTCTACTCCAATTAGTTCCTCTGTTGCATCAGGATAAAGGCTGCTTGTAAGATCAGATGACCTTAGATGGAATAGATGAATTCTCACTGTCTTTATATCTGACAATCATTCTAGACTTTTCTGCTAACTAAAGGAGCCTGTGCTTATTTATCATTGCAGATTCCACAGATATATCTCCATGCATTAAAATGTCATAAAACTTTTATTTATTTCATCAATTAAAATATATCTTCTATTAATTTATTGCACAAAGTGATAAACAGCCCTCCCAGGAAAGATTAGCTGATAAAAAGATAAAAAAAATACCGGATGATTGTGTAGACACCTCATCCAGGAGGTCCTGAAGAAATACATTTAAAGCAATGCATGCCTCCCTCCCTCGTGATTCACTAAGGGGAAACAAAAATGGACTTTGTTGGAAAGTTCCTTAGCAAAACCATGAAAAAAGCACGTCTCATAACTGTATGATGATCATCAATGATTATCAGAATGTTTTTAGACTCCTATTTTTTATTTATGTTAAAAAATAAATATAAAAAAAATTAAAAAATAGAAATAGAAAACACCAATTTTATGCCATTTCTAAAAGAAGCCCATAGGCGATCAGAAACGTTTTCCCTCTCGTTCACCTTACAATGCATCCTTTACGTCTCTCTGCACCAGTTAAACCTTTGAGTATTTCCAGAATAATCAGAAACTCCTAATTCTGATGAGCTACTCTTTAACCATTTATACATTCATCAACATTTGTGTCATCTGAGCCTAAGTCTATTAT